TCATAAAGTCCGCGAAAATAAAGCCCGCCCATTTAGAGGGAAGATATGATTGGTCAATTGTACTGTCGTTTGACATTAGTCTCTCATTGAGTTACTATAGTAACCCTCTGTGAACGTAGAGAGGGACCAACAAGCCCTCCCGTCTTCACAGTACTCGCAGAGACGGCATTTAACCCTTCACATTCCAACAGAAACTGAACAGGCAGATTCGAAGGATTTATTTCTTTGGAAATGTTATTTTAAATACAATTAAATCAAGTTATTTTGGTAAAACTAATGAAAAATGTAACAAAAAAACAAAAATTAAAAAATGTTTTTTTTCTTATGTTTTCAAATATTATTTTTTAGAATATCTTAGGCTCTCAGAGAGGGCCTAGAGGGCCCTGACGACTTGCCACTGGTGATAATATTTATTGTCCAATGTGAACTTAATATATAGCAAGAGAACAATGACAAGTACATGTTGCAAATGCAAAAGAAAACCCTGATACAAAAAGATCAACAGCAACTAAGTTAAGATGATATTTTAAATAGTGAACATTATTTTTTTTTAGATTTTTGGTGAAATGTCTCTATTTTCTAAAAGCTCAAAAATATTTTCTTCAGGCATTATCATTTTAAAAGTCTGAATTTCAACTCACTATATAGTGCAATCAAAAAACGATTAAATAAAATATGTCTACTATCAAACACATATTGTGTGCAAAAATCTATCCATGCAGTGTATTGTGTTGCCTTTAATGCTTTATAAATGAAAATCCATGACGAATCATCTTAAGAACTCACAGTTTCATTAAGTTTGTTTAACCTGATCTGTTGTTATTATTTTTCATGTTTACAGTACTTAACTTCTCATATTGTTGTGTGTGTAGATGCGTGGTCGGGAGGCGAGGCTTTGGGACAGCAGGAAGCTGAGCTCTTCAGTCAGCTCGGTGTCGCTCGGCGTGGCCAGCGGGTGAGTACTGCCCCCCCATACAGTCATCACGCTGACCTTCTTTCAATTTGATGTCTGTCAGTGAGATGGAGAGGTCATGCGATGCTGTTAAGTGTGACAGTGTGTGTGCGATACAGTTTGTGTGTGGTATGTAGATATGGCTGATTTACATATATTTAACGATGTCAGGAGGGCCCTTTGCACTGCAGAGCTTGATAAGAAAGCAGACCTCCCAGAGCTCTGTCACTGTCCCTCACATTCTTGCCATTTCCTGGGTCAGCTTGGCACACAGAGACTTCTATCCTCTCTCTGTGTCCCTCTGTGCATAATCCCTGCAAAGGGTCAGGAAACAGCAGTACACACATCAACACTTCTCCCTCCAGTTCTGCGCTGTCATCTCTACTGCTGACCTTCTCTGAACGGCCTAGTTTATTTTTCCAAACACGGCTGCGGAGGGCCGGAGGAGAGCAGGAGCGTGGCTGCACTCCAGAGAGGAGAGGAATGGAAGCGCGGAGGAGTGAGAAAGAAGAGAGCGAGTGGGAGTTAGGCTTCAAATCAAATCAAATCAAGTTTTATTTATATAGCACATTTATAAACGATTTTTGGTCGAGCCAAAGTGCTGTACATATAATAAAAATAGCCTACAGTAGAGACACTTTACAGCTAATACAACAGCACAGGTTGTTCAGAATATCAGTATGAGAAAAAAAAAGAAAAGAAGGCTTCTCTTTGTCACTTCCAACTCATGCATTTTAGTGCTATTATTAACAGGTTTGTGGGCCAAGTCATTCTAAACTAAAGCAGACCGGACTGCCTGGCAAGTCAGCACACTGTGGCAGAATGAGTAAAGCTATTATCGTTATCATTGCTGTGAAAAGGCAGAGATGTACAGTAGCTGCACAGAGTGTCTGTAGTTTGCTAGCTAGGAATCTACGTCTGTTCTTTGGCACACCAATTTGAGAGTCTGTATCAAAGTTATAATCAACTTTATTGTCAATCTTTCAGTTTGTGAGTAGAGACAGAGAGATCGAAATACCTTTTCCCACAATCCTGAATACAAAATACAAATATATATAAAAAAATATGTATAGAAATGTGTATATACCTATATATACACAATCAACAGACACATTTATACATATGCACACATTAAGACATAAATAAACGCCCAACAATCAACATATACAAAATAACAGTCACTTCAATATCTTTGAGAAATGTACATTAGTGCAAGACTGTCCATAGCAGCGTAAAAAGTGTCGGGTGCTGGATTTGGGTGTCTGTGTGTGTGGGGTGTTAAAGTCCAGGTCCTGTTTGTGCCCATGTTTGGTTGCAAAAAGGATCAGAAAGTGTGAATATAAAAGTACTTTATGAGTATGGTACAGTTTTGTGTTCTATCCTAAGTATACCATAGGGAATCGGCATACGAGGAATGTTATTGATTTTTCCTTCCTGTGTGTGTGATGAATGTTTAGGAGTTGACACAGCAGGGTTCTAAATAACAACTTCAACTGTCCCTCCTCCCTCTGTCCTCGTGCTCACCACTCATCTCCATTTCCTCCGCTTCCTCCTTCTTTTGAGTGAGACAGATACTTGTCTGTCTGAGTGCCCATTCTGAGTCCATCGCATTGTTCGGTGCCAGCATACTTTCATGGAAATTCAACATATCTAATGCTACAGTCTTTTTTCTCCCTAATACCAAAGCAAGACTTTTTTTGTGATGTTTATCCTAGTGCAAAGATCCCCACTTAACTCAGCACATCAGGAAACGGGTTTCTGGTAAAACCACAGAAAATAGTGTTAATTAGCTAATTTTATTGTAAGGTTTGTCTCCCTGGTGTCTGCTCTAGGCGGAGGAATGTTGAAGTTTACTCAGGGTCTGTTTAATGGTCGTGAATGATGACACAACTTGAAGAGAATGTAGCAGCAGTGTGAGGATTTCTACCAAAGTGTCCCTCTCATCTGGTGACAAGCTGTTAAGCTTCCCTGATTCATTCCTACTCAGCCTCCTTCTAGTTTTCCAAATGTCCGTCTATCATATGGGAATTATTAGATACCATAATAGCGCTGAATTTGAGAAAAGTCCTTTGGTTTCCTGTATTTTGATACTAGTTATTTTGTTTGATTTATTTTGTAATGAACATAATTCATGGGGTGTGTGCCGAGCACATCTGCAGTTTATCATGTATTAATTCACTTCAATCAAGCTATCGTATTACGGGTTAAGAGAGTGATCACTCCCAAGGACACATCCCCTCCAGATGCTTGTAGACCAGCACTGACATAAAGCAGGTAGGCAGTCAAATGACAAGCGAGGCCGTTCTTCTTTCCCTCTTTCTTCTCATATCATTTTCTTTGCCAAAATATTTCCTTGACCTTTTTTTCCCCTCTAAATCTCTCTTTTGAGCGTGAAAGATATCTACTAATACATCCTAATTAACTTTATAATGTAGATTTTTTTCCAAATCAGCAACTTCTGTGTTTTTTGCCATTTCTTTCTTGCTGACTGTACTCGACAATAACACATTTCTGAAGTTTGTCTTTTGTTTAAAAGGCTTTTAAATGTTGCAAAGTTGATGACAGCTTAAACCCCATATCATCCCCTTCTCCACATCAATTATTGTATCCTTCCCCCCTCCTCCTCCTAGCTTCTTTGCTCTGTTTTTAATGTAGCTGCAGCATTGCCCCAGGTCCTGTCTGGGCTTTTTACCAACACTGCTGTTACTGGATGAGGCACTATTATTGTCTGCTAATTTGAACAGTGGAAAACATCCAGATCACTGTCAAGAACAAACGAGGCTTCAGGAGTTACATTTGGGAGAAAATGTAATCAAGTCTTCTCATTTAATCTACAGTAGGCGACGGCCAAATGCTTTACAAAGCAAAATAGCTGTGTGCAATCAGAAAGCGCTGATAACAGAGTAGATGCCCTGTTTCTAGGTAAAGGTCAAACTGTTTATTTCTGGCTGTTTATTCAGCCTGTATCATTTTTATGAATGTTGATAAAGAAGTTGGGGAAACAAAAGCTTGTGTCTAAGCCTCCTTCCACTCATTCTAGCTACAGTGCATTCAAATTCTCCCTTTACTGTGTTGTGTTTTAGGCATAGGCACCATACTTTTCTGTCTCTCAGCCTCAGCGTTATCCTCAAGTTCCCTTTGGCCTTCAAGGTTTTAATTGTTTATACTGCTTTTTTATCATGGTGGTTTTCCGTAGATAATTTAGTTTTAGTTCAGCATTGCCTCAGAGCGTGTCTGTCATGCAAAACTAAGCAGCCATGACATAGACAATATGCAATAATCAATAGGAGACCCTTGTCTCAATTCTTCACTGTGCTTGATGGATTGAACCGTGCCAGCAGCGGAAGCTCAAAGTCAAACATCCATAGTGGGGCATTTCCTCCCTGTCATTTTAGGCCTGAGGTGTATATAAAGATGGATTTGTTCTTTTTTCTTGCCTGTTTTTAATTAAAATGGCCGTGGTAAACATGGTGTGTCTCAGGTTAGCTGTGCTCGTCCACGATATTCAGTAGGACTGTTTTCTTTGGAGTGTCACAACATAAAGAGGCCCGGGAGCATGAGCCAGTAAAACGGGGTTGTGGGTGGAACATAATTTGGATGGAGAATAATGGAGGGGAAATGTTTTCCTTCTTGGTTGGGGTTGAAATGGAGACTGAAAAAGTGAGGGATGGAGGGTGATGAGCCTGAGAGGGGTGTCTTTAACTGTGCAGAAGTAGCTATTACTGCATGCCTGTTTTCCATACAGATTTGGACCTTGGAGAACAGTGTGGAACTCTGTGTGCCGTTCTTTCTCTCGTACTCTCCCTCTATAAACCTAATTATAATAATGAGTTGAATTGGGCCTCTAAGCCAGCTGCAATCAGTGAACTTTACAACCGGGCAGGATTGCAACCAGCTTGCCGTGTAAATGCTTGATACGTCACGATAATTATCCACGCGGTTTAGCATCTACACTCACAGATTCACTTCACTCTGCATTGATACAGCTAAGTCTTGATGATGCATGTCTGTAAAGCATCGTGTCATAAAGCTCTCTCCGAGGGTCAGTTAGATAGAGTTCAGCATGAACTTGAATCTGCGAAAAAAGGTCTGGCCTCAACCCCTGTAATTATCCTCACTCACTACCAATGTTCTTCTACCTCAAGCACATGAACACATACAAGTGGTCACATGTACACACACACACACACACACACACACACACACACACACACACACACACACACACACACACACACACACACACACACACACATATGCATCTGCTATAACTCCTCATCAAGGTTACTCTGTCTTTTTTCTGGCATTAGGCTGATTAAAAAAGATCACTCTAACCTGTTGCCCACCTTCCTGCCGATTGGAGAAGACATACGCCTGTCCCAGGAGAGACGACCCCAATGTTTTTACAACCCAGGTTATACAAAGAACTCGCCCTCTGAGGCAAGCACTGCTGACAGACTGTGCTGCTAACCGAGAGAGATGTGTTGCGGTATATGCATGGGAGCGCCCCCAGGTGTGATGCATTTAAGGGCACCCTACTGACTCTCCACAATCTATTCCTGCCTGTTTTTCTACCAGGGTCGTGCTTGGGAGCAGGGCCCAGTCATTGGGTGTAATTGAGCCAAACTCCCTTTAATCAGATGGATTGAGAAGAGGCCTGTGCCCCAGAAAGGGAACCAGCCTTTTTACAGAACAGTCCCCACCCNGCTTTCCTGTGGGGATTAGGTGCAGCTGCAGCATCGCTAACCAAACCCGACCCAAAAGAAATTGCCACAGAATGTTTGAACAATCATTTGACCTTGCTACTTTCTCAGAGTTCACTTTCTGAGAGTGAACAGAGCTTTGTTGTATTGATCCAGCTCGAAAAAGTCATGTTTGAGGTGGAGGGAGAGTTAAAAACTACAAAATGTTAGGTGATCCTCAGGGTCAAGTTGACATTTCAGTTGCTGCCCCCCCCCCCCCCCCCCC